ACATTTGCTCACATCAAGATCATTAGACTTGGAATCAGAAGACCTGAGTTAGCCCCCACCGCCAGCTGTATGATCCTGGATAAGTCACTGAGCCTCCACCACCCTCACTATTTCCCTCATTTGTCAAGTGGGCTTCACCTTCATCTCTCACCTCATTTGGCTGTGGATTAAAATAAAACAAAAAGAAAAACTGTGAGGCAGCCCAAGGCAGTCTGGATATCTCCCGCAGCTTCGACTTCTCTGTTCCCTCTTTCCTGGTCTGCAAAATACAACTTTTTCCAACATGCTGTGTGCCAAAGTAGTTCATCGGAAACACAGCAATTAGCATTACAGTTAAAATGACACTGCGACAATGTTAATTACTACAAGGCAGATGTACCGTTAGGTAACATACATAATGTTGTCAAGCCTTTATTTTTTAAATTAAAGTGCAACAAACCATACCCTGGCTACAGAGCTTTTTTTGATTAATACAAATTAGTGTTATTTCACTGTCTAGGGAAGGAGTGGGGATAAAGGGTTATTGCATCTAATTGTAGGCACACATCGGCAAATGGTAGAATTTTGGATGTATTCCCCAGAACTCTTTCCTCCACTCTGGTTTCTACCTAATGAGAGTGTGAACTCCATGAGGGCGGGGACAGGGCCTGACTCTACTCACCATACTGCCCCCAGCTCCTAGCACACAGTCAGGTACTTTGAATATTTTCTGAATGACTGAAAAAATGAATGCAGGCATCCATGCATGAAGATAGAGCCATGTAGGCAGAAGGGGTCTGGAAGTGGAGCAGAAGAACTAGAAGGCACAGTGGCTCAGTCCTGATCACCCTGGTTTTGTGTTGGCTTTATGTCCTTCCAAATGATCTTGGATGTTTTCTGTGTCTGATGCTTTAACATCTGAAATGAAAAGCAAGTGAATCGTCACAATGCATGTCAGTTAAAGTTCTTCATCGTGACATTTAGCAGGCAACACTATATTCCACCGGGCTCTGGGAAATAGAGAAGATCCACATGGGTCCCTCAGCATCAGCTGGGCATCCAAGCAATGACTCAAAAGGAAGGAAGGGAGTAAAAAATGTTTGACCATTACATGCAATATTTATTTAATTCTCACAACAAATTCAGGAGGGAAGTTTTTCTCAATTTTTTCATTGTGGTAAAATACACATATAAAATTTACCTCCTTAACCAGTTGTAAGTATACATCTCTATACTATTAAGTACATTCACATTGTTGTGCAAGCATCACCCTATCCATCTCCAGAAATTTTTTCATCTTGCGAAACTGAAACTCTATGTTCATTAAGCAATACTTGTCCATTCCTCTCTGCCTGCAGCCCCCCAGTAACCACCACTCTGCTTTCAATCTACTCCGGGTACCCTGTATATGCAGAATCCATTTATACTTAAAGTAATTATTAATAAGGAAGCATTTACTTCTATTATTTTGATGTTTTCTGTATGCTTATAACTTTTTATCCCTCATTTTCATGGGAGAAATGTTCCCATCTCTACAGTTAAGAAAACTAAGGCTTTAAGAAATTAACTAACCAGCTAGGGTCACCAAGAGGCAGATTGGGAATCTTTTGGCACATGAGTCCTTGATTCTTTCATCTTGTATGTGCCAGTGTGCTTTCTAACTACTGGGAATATGCGGACAAGCATTTGACATGGTCACTGCCTTACTTCAGTGGGCAACAGTTTTCTTAGGAACATTTGATGTCTGCGTTTACATATGAAAGGATATCAATAAGTTCAGGGAAGCCCAAGATATTTGCCCAATGGGACAGAGCATACACCCTGTAAGAATGCAGAGCAGCTCCTCTTAGGCTGCCTTGCAAAACCATAGGTGCCCATGGATGCTGCTGGTTGTGTTCTTAATGTCATTTGAAGAAAATTAGAGGCCCAGCCTGTCTCTGGGATCTACTCTCCATGGCAGATGGAATTGTCAGTAGATAGTAAGCACTGTGATAATGTGTACACCATTTGACCCAAAACTTGCCTAATGAAATAACTCTATGTTAAAAAAATATTTAACCATAAGGATGCTCATTACAGTATTTTTTTTACAACAGTGAAAAAGTGGAGGGAATGTAAAGATTCAATAAATTGTACATTTTTACAGTGAAATAGTATGCAGCTATTTCAAAGTGATAGTGCAAAAGAATAATGACCTGGATAGAGTCATGTTAGTGAAAATATATATAATATTGTATTTACTGTATTGTATTATTTAATAATATTAATTACTATTATGTATTTATATATACTAATGTATATATTAGTATATATTAATATATTGATATACATTAATGCTAGTATTATGCGTTAATGGGTATTAGTAATATATAATAAATGCATATTATGTATACCATATATTAGTATGTTCTATTTAATATACATTATTATATATGATATATAATCACAAATATATACATATGTGTGTGAGAAATCATTGTCTACTTATCTATTCACATATAAAATTATCTCATTAAAATATGGATTTAAATAGCTATGAGTCTAAAGAGTATATATACCAAAACATTAGTGGTCATTATTGGGTAATTGTGGAATTGTGGTTGATTTTTATTTCCTTGAGCTGTTCTATATCTTTCTAACCCTACATAATGCCTGTATATTATCTTAATAATTAGAAAAGGCAAATTTTGCCTAAAGATGGATGCAAATGTCAAAGATGAACTATCTCTAACCATTTTACTACAAAAAAGGTCATGAGGTGGGGCATGAAAAGGCGATGAGTCTTCATCATCTCATACTGACTAAACATTTATTTGTTTGAGACTGGAGAATATGAGTAGAGTCTTTGATGGATCATTTTGTTACAAGGAATACATAACTTTAAAAAAAGGGATTTATTGGTAAGATATAAAGTATCTGAGAAGTTACGGCTCAGACCTCATGAAGGAACTGGTACGAGGAGGTACAAATGGTTTCTGAGGTCAAGTGGTTATGTCTCCAGTTGTCACTGTCTCCATCTCCATCTCTGTCTCTCTCTCTCTCTGGTCTCACTCTTTGGCTGCATAGCAGGTTGATTCTCTGGGCCCCATGTGACTTCCCAGTTCAGGTACTCTGCACTGCCAGGTGCTCAACAGAGTTCTGCTGATAGTTCCATATTCACAGGGAAGAGCAGGTAATTGACTTAGTGTATATCAGTTAGCTTTTGCTACATAACGAACTACCCCAAAACTTAGGGACTTAAAACAAACAATTATTTAGCTCCCAAGACTTTGCATCTATGGGAAGTTCTTATAGTCTGTGTCAGGCTAAGCTGATCTTGGCTGAGCCAGTCAACTGGTAGATCAGCCATGGAATGGATAGCCTAGGATGGCTCTCCTCACTATGGTGTCATCCTCCAGCAGGCTAGCCCAGGCATGTCTCAAGTTTCCAAGAAGGAGTGAGGAAGTATGCAAGGCCTGTAAAGGCCCACCCGCAGAACTCACATGTTGTATTCACTACATGCTATCAACCAAAGCAAATGACAAGCCCAATCCAGATTCAAGGGATGGAGACATAGACCCCTATCTTGGTGAGAGCAGCTACAAAGTCACTTATAAGATCTTCAGTTAGGGAGGGGAAGAATTCTGGTCATTTTTGCCATCTGTACATTATCTGCCAGGGACCCAGGCTGACACCGGCTCCATCTTGTAGTGGTACCACATTTACATGTTTCCACAAATACCCATTGCTTGATGTAGCAGAGGAAGAGAGAGACTGAACATTTGTGCATAAGCTTTTCACTATTATAGGCTGGAAGTGACACTTGTCATGTCCCCTCACAGCCCATGGCCGGCACCAGTCACATGGGCTCTACCTTACAGCAAGATGATGAAATAACAAGTCAATGGAGTATTTGATGAGCGTTCCTGTCTCTGCTACAGTGAGCAAACTACAGAGCTAACTGATTGTTCGTAAGACTGGTGTGAGAAAGGCAGAAGAGCAGGGAGGCTAATGAATAAAGAAAAGGCTATAAAATATATGAGAACCAAGTTTAATGAAGGCACCAGAAGTTACATGAAGCCCTTAAGGAATCCCCAGAGCAGAAGGCTGGGCCTAAAAGAGTCAGAGTAAGAGCCAGACAATCCCAGCTGAGCATCCAGTAGCCCAGAAGAATTCCATCCAGACCCATTCAAAATTTCCCTTAAGCGTTCCATCTGCTCCAAGAGCCAAGTCAACCCAGGAAATCAAGAGAGTAGAGTCACTGGTGAGAATCAGCATTCTAGAAACCAGTGTTGCCATGTGCTAAGGGCCTAGTCAGGAAAATGAAGCTGCATATCAAGTTTCAAAAGGACAGAAGGAAATGAAATGCTAAGCAGGATGATTAGCAGCTTGCAGGGACTAAAGCAAGATGGAATCGGGAGTGAGGAAGGGGAATGGGAAGCTTGTGTGAATCTCTTTAGCTTAGCACTGAAGCCACAAGCTACGACAAAGGATCAGGGCTCTCATTCTATGCAGTGTCTGCTTGCAGAGGTGAGAGAGGGGGACACAAGACACACCAGAGTGGACACTGGAGACTTCAGACTTCAGATGAGGAGGTGCATATGTTTTCTGAGGTCTGCCACCAGGGTATGCCCCTGTCAGCCCACTGGGGCTTTCTTGTCTCTCGCCGTTGCAGCATCTCTCCCCCACTAACTGCTTTCTTCATTGTCTCACATATGAGATTTTAACTTTTGCAGCACCTCTACATTCCGAATATTTGTGGTAAGAGGGACAAGTTAATATAAGGTACAATACAATGTCCAAAACTTCAGCCACAGTTGCTGAAGTCTCCTTTGAGTTCCAACCTCAAATTCCCAAATGAGAAAGCGGTTTATGCCTCACAAACCAGATAGGACAGGAATGCTCTCTGGGAAGCTGCCACTTCCTACTCCACTTGTGGGTTTAGCCTAATGTGTCCCCATCAAGAATAGGCAAGCGATATTGGTCTTAGCACCACACTGGGTTTGGTGAGAAATGCTGACCTGCTGCTCTTTGCCTTGTAGGTCAGTGGGACCATGTACAACACTGGGAGACACGTGTCCCTGCGCCTGGACAAGGAGCACTTGGTCAACATATCAGGAGGGCCCATGACATACAGCCACCGGCTGGAGGAGATCCGGCTACACTTCGGGAGTGAGGACAGCCAGGGATCGGAGCACCTCCTCAACGGACAGGCCTTCTCTGGGGAGGTATGTGGAGCTGTTGAAGTGCTAATGTGAAGTGCCAATTATAAGATTTAATGCCTATTTATATCCAAGGTACATATATAACAGATGGAAAGTTTTCTCTTAAACCTATGAAATGAGAAAGCCCATGCCTCCTTTCTCCACCTGTCTTTTGCAAGTTAACATGGAAGTCTATGGCGAGCTTCCAGTATTTTCCAGGGAAGGCTGCAATGAGACTGGATATTCCCTTCTGGGACATTGGCATAGTTCTCTTTTGATTCATGCGCTAAGAAATCCCTGGAGCATTATTTCAACCCCAGGCCCTCACCTTTCATGTACATCTTCATTTTCACCTATCTAGGCAAGCAGCCTCCCGTATATCACATATGATAACACAGATTCCACAATTCTTCCTTCTGGTAGAATGGGTCTTATTTGCACAAAAAAGTAAACTACAACTTACTGTAAAATAAATGTCAGGCAGCCAAGTAGTTTGCCTGACTTTCTGCAGAATGGAAATGTCACTATATGCCACCATTAAAGTGAGTGTCACTGTGTGCCATCAACCCAGATGGAACTCAGGCCACAGCAACGTGCAAAGCCACAGTTTCAATTATAGGATGAGAACTATAGTTTAAACTGTCACCTGTGTTCTGACATTTGACAAGCAGGATGTAGTTAATTTGACCTGTTTTACTGCTCTTACACTTGAGGGTGGTTATCATATCAACAGGGGTCAGGGGGCTTTATATGCCAAATATCCTATAACTAGGTTTCTGTTTAAGAGTCCTCACTAACTGATGTCAAGAAGGCTTTGAAATAACAGAAGTATGTGTTTCATTATCAATGTGGGCATTTTAATTTTTTTAATCAAGATCATGTTTAAACCTGGCATTGTTTTTCATATGATAAGAGAGCCACAACCTTACTGAGTGCAGTGGCCAGATTTTAATGACTGTTCAAAATGGATCAACTGAGAACCTACCTAGGCACTCTAGGTACCAGGGATATAGGGACTTGAAAAGAAGAGAGAGAGATCCTACTGCAGAGGACCTCAAATCGTGCTATATTCAAATCATTAAAGTACAATGTCATGCTGTAATAGAAATGTACAAAGGCCCTGGCCAACTCCAAGGACAAAGTGACAAAGTTTATGCAGAGGGGTCTGGAGGAGCTCTGCAGAGGCAGTGCCTTTTGTACTGGGCTGGGAGGAGAGGCAATGCAGAACTATTTTAAGGGATCAGCTTTGGAGTCAGAGAACCTGAATTTGTACATCCTGCTTTGATACACACTGCTTGTGTGATCTTGAGATGGTTACCTGATCCTTCTAACAGGAGGAGTTAGACACCTCTCAAGGTTATTTTGAAAATTAAGGGGAATTCCACGTCTGAGGAGCACCCAACATACTCAATAGTTGATAGACAACAAAGATAAAGCAGGAAATGAGGGACAAAAAAGGCATGAAGGTGTGTCAGGGCATTGTGTCCTGGGGAAGCTGCATGTAGATTTCATTTGGGATCTGTTAGCAATGGCTGCCTAGTGAACAGGGTTGAGCGGGAAGATGTCTGCTTCCTGGATCTGTAGGAGAAGAAGCCAGAGACACCGTGATGAGAAACGCCCAAGAGTTGCAGATCCTGAACCAGAGTATGAGGAAAGCAGGCCAAAAACTCATGAATTGAGAAAGACTGAAAGACTGGGGACTGCAGTCTGAATTAGAGAATATTCTAAATTAGATAAACTCTTTCTTTTTAAATATATGTTAGTTTTCTATTTGTAATTATTTTATTCATTAACTTACTTGCTATTGTATTTGTGTTTGCTGTTATTTCTTTTTCTCCCTCACTGAACTGTTAGATTTCATTGCTTATTACAATATCACTTCAAAGTAAAAATGAATTTATAAATGATTTTATTAAATGAATGGTGAAAAAATATAGATGGTCACTTGGCTAAAATCTTTGCATTGCACAATTCCTTAGAGTTGCTTTATTTGATATGTAATAAGGGTGCTTTGTAATTTGTATACAAACTACAATTTCTAAGTAAATGAGTGTTTCCAAAATCCTTAAGGGAAACATATGCCAGTTTGATCTCTCAGTGTATTAATTTTCCTAGACCTACCCCAGACCACAGGTATCCGGCCCTCCCAGGGATCTGCGTTTGTAAAGCTCCCAGGAGAGGTTGATGATTAGATTGTGAAGCCCTCACTCAATAGTATGTCATCATGTGTTCTCAGTGAAGAAAGCAAAAGAGTTGCAAATCAGAATTAACTGGGAAACATTGTCAAAATATTTACATTTGAGTCCTTCCCCAAAGCATTTGAATCATAGTCTCCAGGAGTGGGGTCCAGGTATACACATTTGTAAAAATTTCTCCAAGAGATTTTGGTTAGTGACCACTGTGCCATTTTCATCTCAGGCTCTGCTTGAATTATCTGTTTTCTAAACAATGAGGACTTAATCAGCAAAGTCATACTGTACAAAAATATAAAAGGGGCCCCCAGTGGTAATTGGACCCTGGAAATGGCAAAGCAGGGGTGCTGCCTAGACCGATGAAATTTGGAGAAGAGCCTCCCATGCAGGATAGCCACACAGAGATCCGATGCCCCGAGGCAAGGTTGAGCATTAGCCATTTTACCTCTAACTGTGTAGACCTCATCGGTATATCCCATTTCTTTCTGAGCCCCTCAGTATGAGTGGTCTCAGGGTGAGTGGTCTATAAACTGGTGTGGGTTTAGGTGCAAGAAATCAAAATGTTGGAAGCACCAAAACAATGTCATGTGGAAAGCAGTTGGATAAACATTGACCTTTGAGATATTTAAAGGACTTTAGTGAGCAAAAAAAATTGTCACCTTCTCTGTGGTATAAGGGAAAAGACCTGGGGTCAATGGGTGGAAGTTCTAGAAAGAGAGCATTCAGCTAAATATATACTCCAAGAATGAGGACCATCCATTGATAGAATGAGTTTGCCTCTGAAAATAGTGGATTTCCATCACTGGACTTAAGCATGGAATATAATTTGAAGACTTCATAAAAGTGATTCATATCCTTAATGAGCAAGTAGACTGTTATCTTAATATACCTTTTAGTGTATTAAATTACTGAAATTCTACACAATCCATGATTTCCTTTGTTTAAAGTTGATATACAATATTATAGTGGTTTCAGATGTACAACATAGTGGTTTGATTACTACAGTAAGTATAGTTACTACCATTTCCCATACCAAGATATTACAGTATTATCAGTTATATTCTCTATGTTGCACTTCCATTCCTATGACTAATTGATTTTATAATTTAAAATTTGTACCTCTTTATCCCCTTCACTTATTTCACCCATCCTCCCAGCCCCCTCCCCATGGCAACCAACAGTCTGTTGTCAATATTTATGGGTCTATTCCTTTTATCTTTATTTGTTCTGTTTTTTTAGATTCCACATATAAGCAAAATCATATTATTTGTCTTTCTTTATCTGATTTATTTCACTTAGCATGATACCCTCATAGGCCCATCCAAGTTGTCCCAAATGGCACAATTTCTATGATTTCCCTTTAATTGCCTTGAGTCAAATTCTACCAAAGGTTAACCCCAGTTAAAGGAAATGTATCCTATCCTTTAGGTTAACATTTTGTGTTTATTTTGTGCTATCTTCAAAGCCACCTTTGGTCTCTGTTTTTGGCTGTCCTTCGAGAGGACCCAGTAGACATTCTAGCACTAGAGCATGTGTTTATTTTGTTGACAGTGTATAACCACATTGCCATATGCCCCATATATCATTGCTGATCGTGATAAGTCAATTAATGCCAAGCATTTTCCTTGGCACAGTGCAACAGCCGTTGTCTGAAGAGCTGCAGATTAATTGCAGTCTTGCCTAGTGAGGTTATTGTAATTGATGGTAATCATTTGCTTTGTTTTATAAAGCTGTGTGGATGTACAACACAGTCAGCAACTGCTTTCTTATAAAAATTATTCATGTCGTACTAGAGAACTCCTGGATGTCTTGTTGGGGGTTGGTGATAAATGAGCATATTCAGGGATTCAAATGTCTAGATCTTTTTTAAAGAAGGGAAAATTAACTGTTTTTAATAAGTAAGACCCTTAGCTTGGTAATCATGTCTAAGTGGTTAGATTAATGTCTGGTATAAAGTAGGGTATTTATGAAAAGAAAAAAATACATTAACCAGACAAAAGATAATATTTGAAAGGAATCATGCCTGTGGATTAAGTTGCAGTCATGAGGCTAGACAAGAAAACTCTTATTTAGGGGAAATTGGAAATACTCATTTTAAAAACCTTCCTTAAGCGCCTCTTTTCAAAGGGTAAGGGAGCAAGCACACTGAGCTTTGCACCAGCCATTCCATGGGCCACCTGTGTCCAGGTCCTCCTGTTTGTAACCTACCCACTCTTCACATGGTGATGGCTCTGTCCCTGTGAGCCGAGCTCCACAGTCCAGCTCCTGACCTGAGCAGGACACAGTCTGGTATGGATGCATACATTCATAATACAATGTAATGCAGGTTATTTTTGAAGATTGTTTCAGAAGGGGATCATGAAATATCTCTTTGGGGATTGTATTAACGAGAAGACAGATGAACGGCTGTGTGGCCTGACACAGTTGCTGCTGCTTCTGAAGGTGGGGTGGAAGCACATCAGCCTTTCAAGCCTCTGCCTCCTGAGTCCCTAATTCTGCTCAAACACAGCTGAGGGAGAGAAAAGCCCATAGCTGTTGCTATGGTAATATAGATAAGATTTGTTTAATTAAAAGGGAAGAATAAAAGTCATATGTAAAATGTGTATGTGTGTGTTAGTGGGTCTGGATCAGAATAGAGAAAACAGATTATCTCAGCATGAACAACTGAGACTAAACAACAGAAAATGCAGGCCTTGTCCTCTTCAAGGAATCAATTATTTGCATCCTTGAGAGACTGGTTTCACTAAAGCAACACAAATTTGTAGGAATAAGCAACACCAAATTGTCCTGAAGTGTGCTAGGGGATGAAAAGTGCTGAGGAACACATACCCC